CCTCCCCTCCCCATGCACTCTCCCCTCCCCTCCCCATGCCCTCTCCCAGGCCATGGATTAGTTTTGGTTTCAGTGTTTGATTTGAATTCTTATAAAGGTTATACAGGTTTTTCTTCAAACAAAGAATGTCGGTTGATAAAATACAGATGTCTTTAATAAGCAGGATTTACGAGCAACCTGCTTTTTCACTCGGTATCCAGTGGCCTCTTCACGCCGGTAAGGCAGACAGGGCCTATCATCTGAGACATGTACACATCAGAGCGCGAGCCACCGCCGCCCTCGAACAGTCAGCGGTTCCAGGTCGGGCTCCCGCTCACAGGGGCGAGGCTAAGGCGCACACCTCGGCTTCCCAGCCTTTTGAGCCCAAATAGACCTGGTTCTGGTGCCCTCCAGGCTGGGGTCTCGGGTGCAGCCACGCCGTGGGGCCTGTGCGCTCCAGGGGCCTGGAGTCAGGTGAAGTGTAACTTATTTTTGTGAGAAATCAACTGACCTTGGGGAAAACACAGGACTGCAATCGCTCCACCTCCTGAGCCCTTTTAACTCCCCTTTCAAAATCCAAAGTGACTTTTAACTGTGTGCTTTTTCTACCCACTGATTCTACTGTAAGGGTGTGTTATGATTGTTTAAAGTAGAAGTTTTAATTCCTTGTTAGAATGCTATATATACACATATTTATGTGTTTAAGGAAATGGGAGAGTACAACGGTATCAGAAAAAGGAAAGAATGCAGTCAAAAATCTGGTTTTGTAGCCTTGAAATCTATTCAGGGTGAAAATTAAGCCCAATTAGGATTTCACAGGAAACTGGCGGAGGACCGGCACCCGGCCGCTTCCATCACGTGACGGGGACGCCAGGCAGCTGTCTGGGAAAATCATCACCGATTGTGCCAGCCAGTCCCTCCCCCCGAGCAATGAGCCCCTTCCCGTCCAGCTCATTGTCCAGGGCTGTGTCCACCGCCGGACACCAGGACCATTCTCTTCACCATCGAGCGAGTACAAAACCATTCCTGAGACGGTCTGAGAACGGCCCAGACTTCCGATGGAGCACCCTGTCCTCGCGTGGCTGACAAACAGGACAGGCTGCGGGTCAGAGAGCTGCTGCTCTGCGGCTTCCCTGCCCCCAGGGAGGAGGGCGCTTCTACACCCAGCAACGCTCAACAAAAGGCCGCAGGCCTGGGCCGGAGCCGGAGCCTCCCCTCAGAAGAAAGAGGCAAAGGTGGCACCGCCCACCCGGGAGGGTCCCAGGGACAAAAGCACCAGGTGACTGTGGTCCCAGAGGGGTCCGCCTGCCAACGCTGGGCCCGCGGATCTGCCGCGCTCCAGCCAAGGCCGCAGTGAGCTACAGCCGCCCTCCAGCTGACCGGACAGGGATCCGCTGGGTTGCCTGGTGGATGCCATGGAACCACAGGGTCCTTCTCGTGGAGAGGGAGGCGGAGAGCCGTGTCAGAGGGAGGAGATGTGTGGACTCCTCCAGACCATGTTCTGGGGCCTGAGCCAAGACACAGGTGGCGTCTTCCAGGTGGAAAGGCCAGGCCTCCAGAGGAACCAGCCCTGCGACCCCCGGACAGCAAAGCAATGAATCTGCGCTCCTCTGGGCAGCAGCCGTGAGAAACGAACACAGTGAACGCCCAGAACGGTCCCGAGTCACAGCTGCTACCAAGAGGCCCAGTTGTTCTCCTGATTATTTAATTGTGAAAAAAAAATCAGCGACCATTTTAAATGCTTTTTGAGACACATGTGTTGATCAAACACCTTAACACTTCCTGGAATCAAGTGGACTCACAGCCGAAGCACCTGCCTGAGGCCACAGCCACCTCGGATGCATTCCTTTGCCCCGCTCGCCACTCGCCGTTCAGGAGCAGCACAGCCCTGCTTCCGGTCTGACGTCCTGTTTACGATGTCCCCGCACCCTCCCGCGGGTCCGCACTGAGACCTTCCACACTGGCTGTTCCAGGACCCGGCGCAGAAACTGAGCCCCCAGCTCTCCGCCAAGGACGGAGACCGGGCAGACCGGCACCTGCAGGCCAGAGGACCAGGCGCCAACTCCAGCTACGCCCCCCGCTTCCTGGCGTCCCGAGCAACTTCAGTGCCCGAGTTCCACATCAAACACCCGGGGCGGGGAGACGGGGGGAGCCTAAGGACCCATTCACAAAGGAGCCTGCAATGGAGACCCACTGTCCTCGTCCATTAACAGCTGGAGACTCCTGCCTTCCTGCTTCGGGGCTTCACGCAGCGCAGGAGACCACAGGGCCATCAAAGCGGCAGAAGCCTGAGTGCTAGGGACGGGTCCAGCAGGCCTGGGCAGGCGAGGCAGGGGCACAGGCTGCTTAATTCATGGGGCAGCCTGGGTGAGGGGCCCTGGGGGAATGGGAACTCAAGCAAAGGCTGGATCTGGGGGACAAGCACTCCGAGTGAACAGCTGGAGAGGCCCTGGCGGCGGGGTGGGCGGGCGGAGGAGCGGCTGAGCTCTGTGAGGGGCCAGCAGCAGGACCACCAGTCCCGGGTGGAACCCCTGGTCCTCCTGCGATGCCACAGACGCGGAGTCATCTCCATTCCACTGAGGAGGCCTCAGGGCTTCACTTCCTCCCCGCTCTGTCTGGACGCTGAGGGAGATGGCAGACGTCTTGGTCACAGTGACAATCGGCAGGGGTGGCCGAGTGGCCATGGCGAAGAGGCCGCCAGGGTCACCCTGGCTGAGCGGCGTGTCCCAGGCCCTGCACCATGGCCCCTGGCAGGCGCTCCCACAAAGCCCGTTTTTAACACGCCTTTAAATAGGAACGAGGGGGCATTCTCGCGGAACAGCGCTGGGTGAGGCCCGTCTCAGAGTCCGCAGGGACCCGCGGGTCCTGTCGGGTGGCGAGGCAGCTCTCCTGACAGGGACACGGCTGCCAGGTGGGAGCCTGGGGCAGGAGCCTGGCCCTCCCTCCCTCCCAGGGGGACACCTGTCTTCCCAGCGCTGCCCCTTTGTGGCCAAGTTTCCCCTTCCACCGGCCTTTCTCTTTCATCCGGAGGAACGGCAGGAGGACGGCACAGGTCCCTGGACGGGGCAGAGGCGAACTGCAGTGCGATGTGCGAGGCAGGATCGCTGGTATTAACCTTGACCTGCTTCCCTGGTTGCTCATGCAAATCCTGGCCGCCCAAGCCCCACACGTGTCCTGGCCCAGCAGCCCTCAGGGTCGGCTGCGTGACCGGCGCCACAGCACCGGCCGGTTCCCAGGTGCCCGGGAGGAAGGGCCGGCTCTCAGCCAGCACCACCCACAGGCAGGGACCGAGGGCTGGCTTCAGCGTCTGAGCCACCACCTCCTCCAACCTCGACCCGAGCCGTAACCAGGGGCTCCTTCAAGAAATCTGTTCCGTCACCGGCAGCGCAGGTATGAACCCAAACAACACCCAAACACGAGGGAGAGGGTGAGAGGGGCGGCAGGAAGCACAGGGACAGGGCACGGCTTGCTCTGCCCGCTCCCTCCCATCCACACCAGGAGGTGGTTCGCTCAAAACACACGGAACACTGGGGTCACGAGGCCCCCCAGCCCCTGCTGTCGGGCCCTCTCCATCAGCTCACCCGGCCGCGGCCACCGCGCCCTAAGGATCGCCCACCGCCCGTCTAAGCCACCGGCTGGAGGCATCTTCCGAAAACGCAAAACACTCACCGTGGCCCGAGAATGAAGTCCTGGTAACACAGGACCCTCCGGACTCTGTCCCCTCCTGCAGCCGCTCGGCCTCCTCCCGCCCGTCCAGGCTCACAGCCCAGGGCAGCTCCCCGGGGCCAGTTAGTCCACAGCCTGGCCTTTGCCCACTGCCCGGCCTGACGCGTATCTCTGCCACATTCACCTGGTTGGCGCCAACCCCTTCCCAACCCAGCTGGTCTGGGAGCCCTCCTGGGCCCGGCGGGCCCACCCTCTCCTCGGGTGTTCACTAAGTCTCCGTGCGGCCGCCTGCTGGGCTGCAGACGCGAGGGGTCACTAAGCTGCTGACGGCCTGCGACCTGCTCCCAGGACCAAGCACGCGCTCCCCCTGCAGAGACAAGTTAACAGCACACACTCCATCGCTCACAGCCCACAGTCCCCACGCCTGACCGTGGCAGGCGCAGGCTGCTGCTGAGCCGGAAGCCTTCCTGGGGCCGAGTGGGAGACGAAGGGGCTCCCGGGAGGCACCGTCCCGGCCCTGTGCTAACTAACGGTGACCACCATCTCACGGTGACCAGAGGGAAGCGCGCAGCAGCTCCAGGGGGTGTGGATGCACTTCTTGCCGTTTCTAACTCACTTCCCCCTCCCCTGCCTCTGTCATCGCAGGAGAAACCGAGTAACCTGCACTCAAGAGCCCATGGGGAAGCGGGAGGCAACGGAGCAAGGGCAGGTCCAGGCGAAGCGCTCTCTGGGGAGCCGCTGTCCCAGCCTTTCATGGGGGGGGGGACCCCAGGAGGGAGGACTCCACCAGCCAGGGCCCTCCGGGTGGAAGCTCCCAGCCTCTGCCTCACGGGTCTCCTCCCCTCCCCCAGGGGACCTGAAGCTGCGGGCACCCCTGAGCCGGAAGGCACTCCTCGGGTTCTCACGCAGAAACACCTGACCTCAAATGCATGAACCAGAAGAAAAACCCACCCGGCGAGATGGCTGACGAACACCGGCCACTCAGAAAGAAGCAGGTGTGAGCCGCGGCCCCCCGCCTGCGCTACCATCATGAGCCAGGCCCGCAGGCGCCTCTTCACCCACACTCTCCTCTAGAAAACATTGGCTGTTTGGCCAGAAGACAACGTATCGGTGGAGAGACCTTCAATCTTTAAGACAAAAATTAAGTGAAGGAAATAAGTGACTACAACTGGTCAAAATCTGACCCAAACCCGTCAGGACGAGCAAATGAGAAAAACATAAACTGCTGGATTTGACAAAGGCCGTAGGAAGAGCTCATCGCGGTTCAGTAAGTAACGAAACCGCCAGCCATAGGCACCGCCAGGCCCCCTGCACGAACAGGCACAGAAGCCTTCTGCAGCCCAGCTGGTCATCAACAGCTCTGAAGAGGGGCCATTCTGTACCCACTGGATTGCTTTCCGAAAGCTTTCAGATGCTACTCCTCAGCACCGGCATGCTTGCAATGACGAGCATGTACCGGCACCGCCACGAACAGGGTGGACTGGGACAGACAGCCTGTGGGAAGCAACGTGCGTGGACAATGTGTGTGTCCTCTGACACGCTGCGGTCACCCTGGAAGTCTCCCTTACAAACCACGAGACGTATAACGGGAACCCTATGTTCCAGATGTTCTGAGAAAGCCCTGACTCCACAGAGCTGTGTTCTTTTCCATAAAAGCAAGTCCTTAAGTGTGTAAGCAAACTGGAGACCCACGGCAGTCATCAGTATCAGAGAGAAACAGACAGAGGTCTGGCCGGGGTCAGACCCACAGAAAAGGTCTTGTTGGGCTTGGAGAGAAGCAGAGGGTGAGCCCGGGCTCCCTGCGAGTCAGCTCTGCCCGGGCTCCTCTCCTCACGCTGTTCCTCCTCACTCAGCAGCAGGTGCCCGGGCCGCAGGCTCCTCTAACGCACAGGCAGGAACCCGCCGCCTCCCCAGAGGCCGCACTGCTGGGTCTCCTCTCCACCCCACGCGGAAGCGTGTTTCCTGCAGGCAGCTCTCCTCGTGGTGCCAGCGGGGACATGGCTGAAGCTAATAAAACGCGGTGGGCGCCGCCGTGCTGGAGAAGTAACGGCCTGGACCGACGTTACACTGAGTGGCCCTGCCAGCCTCTCCCGCACATCCGGTCCGAGAGCGGGCACCAC